TAAAGGAATTAAAAATAAATACTTGCGATATATACAATCAAGAAATGTTCACATTTTTCTAAAAATCAAAAAAGATCGACACTATAAAAAAAAAGTCAATATAAAGTCATTCTTTAGTCATTTGAAATCTAGATTTTAATCTTGATGTAAAAAATGACGTAAATTCGGTCAATTTGACGTCAAATTGATATTATTTTGACTTTTCTGTTCTCCTTGGGTTTTTAATTAACTTGATGATTATGCTGATTATAGTTAGTACTGAGATTAGTTTACGCAGCTAAGTATATGCATGCGTACACTTGCCCACGTACACTTGCCCCAAAGCAAGCAGTTTTTAAAAACTAAATCTCAGTATTAACAATAGCCGACATAACCTCTAAAATTGTAACGCAATATAAACTTATATTATAATACTATGTATAAAATATGTAATCACCTCTCTTTTCTTCTTTAATTTGACGTGTTACGTCCTGAGGACTTCACGATTCTTTTCTTTCGTGGAGAGTTCCGGAAACGGGAAGTCAATTAGCGGCGATTATTTTATTACGTGTTAAATTTAAGACTTCCTGCGTTTCCAGACGCGGACGCGCAAGAACCGTCAATTAAAGAAATCTTTTGGCGATAACCCCATTACCCTACAATTAAGTAAATAGAAAAGATCGCCGCCTGGTCCCACGTGTGAGTTTTTAGATAAGAGACTCTTCCAGTCTCAAAAAATAAAATTCATTAATAAATTCGGCACACGTCAAAACTAGGCGAGGATCTTATCGGCTATCAACGCCGCGTGAAAGCGGCCTCAGCACCTCCGGATTTAAAGGATCACCCCGATAACCCTTTTTCCCGAGCTGCGCCTCCCGAAAAACAAAGGAGCCGGAGCGGGCTCCTAGGTATGTATAGGGCTCCTCTAGGCGTCTTGCGACACTTATAATTCAGATTTCGGGACTCACTTTACCATTTTGCCACTCTGTGAGTTTAACGGTCGGACCCAAAAGAAAAACTTAGAATCTGTGCGCGGTTGAAAATCGAGTGCCAAAGATCGCTCTTGGAGAGAAGTCCCGCGCAACCGGCCTTCGAGACCCCAGCTCTTACCTGGCGTGAGTCCCTGCCAGCCTCTCCACCTCGTTCTTGAATTACAGCAAGTAGTAAGCCGTCATCTTTTTATTTAAACCGGGATTAATCTAATTAGTGACTTATCATCTCAAATCAATCTCGTCTTCAGTCCGTCACGGACAAAATTTAAATGTCTCACCGCGGCCCCCGCGACTCGCGATCAACCCGTGCTTTTCTTTTATAACTTCTTCTCCCCCTTTTTACCACCGCGCTGGAGGAGCTCATCGAAGAGTAAATGTAATGATAATAGTAACATTGTATCCATCTGTATAAATAAGTAATAGTTAAGTACAAAAATGTTAAACAAATAGTTAAGAAAATGTTTAACAATATCTTAGACTCGCTCTCATGTTCGTCCCCCGTTTTCTTATTTTAATATACAAAAACATATAAATATATGTATATAAGTATATATTATTATTAATGAATTCTGAGTCCGAAATTCCAAACATGTTACACACGTTTCTTTCGAGATTAAATAACATGAGTACTATCCGCTGATAATTATTAGTATCGAGAATTACCTATAATCCACAGCGCTAGATCTCCCGATTCCGTAATAATAGAAATGTTAAACGTAGTAACTCTCTTCTTCACATACTATGAACATTGTAAACATAGTTAGAAATAAAATTAATCGTATCAATTAATTCTTAAACTCTCTATAATTCATTAATCGACCTCACCCTCGTTCATTTCCTCCTTCCCTGCAGAAAATCGCAC